ATATTTTCAAAATAAGTCCTGCCAATTCCCAACATATTGAGGTAAGTTTCTTGACAAAGAAGTGTATTGTGATCCCAATGGTAGAAAGTCCTTTTATTAGATCTAGTTTTCTTTTTAAGGCGTCTGCTGGCACTTACTGATCCACCATCCATTGTTTTAATCTGGGCCATTAAAAATATGTCTTGCTCTGTTTTAGAAAGAGCTTGAAAGGATTCCCTTAATTCTGCAAATTCTTCCTTAGGAATTCTTGAAGAACAACCACATTTACAACCTTTTTTTAAAAAATTAATTGCTTTTTGATATTCAGTAGAACCCATTATATTTATTATTACTTTTCATATACACTTATCCCTATATATATAATTTATGTTCACTTTGTACAATAAGCTTAATTATTTTAATTATTAAAATTATTATAGTTATTTATAGTCTATTTTTTAAAAATCAAATGATTAACAATAAATGTAATTAAAAAAAATTATTTGGTTTTTTATTTATTTTAGAATTTGTTTATAGAAAAGTATTAAATTTTTTTTATAATATATATATCATGGGTGAATTAGAAAGTTGTATCAAGCAAATTTATTAACTTGGTGATATTTATTTAATATTTTCAAACAAAAATGAATTCGTATAATGGACTTCTTTTTTATTAACAAAATGTCAGTTAACTTAAAGAAAGATTTGTTGATTTTTGATTGTTTCATTAATGATTATTAATGGTTTTAATTATACATACATACATACATACATACATACATAAATACATACATATATATATAGTATCACTTTACAAGCTTCATAGATCTTGCCTTTAACACTTCAATCAACTGCTATATAACTACAAATAATTGATAAAACATTCATCAAGTATAACGATTTAGAAGGATTTTTATTTACATATTTAATAAGTAATACTAATAATAAGCACAAATTGTACTTGTAAAAACCAAGGTTTGTTTGTTATATTCACTCTCATTAATTCCAATGTATATAAGATCTAGATAATCACGTAACAATATATTAATAGATAATATTAATAATAAGCACAGATTATATTTGTAAAAACTAAGGTTTGTTTGTTATCTTCACTCTCATTAATTCCGATGTATATAAGGTCTAGATGATTGTGTAACAATTTTATATATCAATAATATTAATAATAAGCATAGATCGTTGGGGTGTGCGACATTCTAAGAAAATCAAAACTAATTAAACTTTACTATGCAGGAAATGCAGATTTGGTGTGTGCTCCGATTAATTAATTAAGGCATATCGATGATACTTTTACTCCAACTGGAAGACTATAGAAGTTTGCCTAAACTACTAAATTCGGCAATATTTCGGCAAATTAAAAAAGTTTCGGTTTTCAAGCAAGCAAAACGCCGAAACTAAATCTACGTGCGAAACTAAATCTATGCGCCGGAACTATAAAATGTGCAAGCATTTTGTGTAATTATTCATAAAGCATATAATGATAATATTACTTTACCAATAATTAATGCCAGTATTGGCATTAATTATTGTTATATATTAACATTAACAATTTAATAATGATGATCCAAATGATTTAATTTGAATAATTAAACCCGTCTATTAAATAACCTTTCCACGAAAATAAATTTTTTTTTTAGATTTATTATCATATGATATATCACTTGTGTGTGGGATATTTTTATAGTAAAAATTTATTACTTTGAAAAGATTTTAAAATAATGGTATCCGACCAAGAAACATCAAATACTTTAGATAATTATTTTAAACATGAAAATGATGATATATATGAAATTTCATCAATTACACCAGAATTGTCAAATAACAAAAGAAAACATGCTGGTGATAGACCATTGTCGGAAGTTTGGACCCATTTTACAAAAGGAGATGAAAAAACCAAAGGCCATTACAAATATTGTCATCAGAGATAGGATAGAGCTTATCCTAGTAGATTGAAAATTCACCTAGCAAATCAATCTATTGATCATTTGTAGTTTCGGCAACAAACCGCAGTTTCGGCACGGTGATTGAGTTTCGACAAAGTGACCAAGTTTCGGATTATTAGTTTCTATAACCTTTTTTTTCTGAATTTCGGCATCATCATTTTAGTTTAGGCAAACTTCTATATGGAAGACGGACTTAACTTCATTTTATAATTACCTTAATATTATTAAATCAATACATTTATTGAACATCCAGGTTCACAATTGTCGCTGATACTGATAGTGGTAGTAATTCCACTGATGAAGGAACTACAACAGCATATATAACTAACGACGCAACTTCTAAAAAACGTTATCCATTAAATATATGAAAATTTTACTCCTAGTGATGAAAAAACGTCCAGGCAAAAAATAAAAGTTCATAGTAAATGTAAAGTTGAAATGTTGTTGATTATCATTTTAAATTGAACATGCAATTTATCAACGTTCAATTTGTAACAAGAAATAAACGGTTTAAAAAAATGCGTTGATTCAGATTAAAGATAAATGTTAAATTTGATGAATATTCAAAATGCAACACAAAAGCATAAACCATTTAATGGTTTATGCTTTTGAACTAACTAAATATTCATTGTATTTTGTACAACAATGATAATAAATATAATTATTAATCGAGTGTTAGTACATCAAATCAAACAATTATGAGCTTTGTCAAGAAAAATTTAGGAAAGATAATGGAAGAAGTAGACGAAGTATATGAGGAAGAGGGGAAGGGGGAGAAGGGGGAGAAGGGGGAAGAAGAAGAAGAAGAAGAAGAAGAAGAAGAAGAAGAAGAAGAAGAAGAAGAAGAAGAAGAAGAAGAAGAAGAAAACATTTTATTTCCTTTCACTGCTGTCTCAAACTTCGCTTCTACTACAGCAGCTTCTACAACCGCAGCAGCTTCTACTACTTCTGTTTCTTTCCCATCATCATTTTATCCATTTAAATGCCCTGCATGTTCAAAAGGGTTCGTTTACAAAAATGCAATAAAACGACACAAAAAACAAGAACATCCAAATAAAGAATTACCTATATTATACTGCTGCCAAAATTGTTCAGGAGAATTCCGTTCGAAAATCGGTTTTTTAAAACACAAATTTGAAAAACATCCCGAACTAAAAAATTACACGATTTATAAATGCACAAAATGTTCCGAAATATTTTGTACTAAAAAAAAACTACAAAGACATACATCAAAAAAACATTCAGCAGGAAAAGATGAACTCCCCAAAAAATCTTGTCCACAAAATCAACAAAATATGCAAGTAACTAATCACCAAAATATTAAATATTGTTTAACAAAAACTAATGCTCAAGATTGTAGGAGCCAAAACAATAGGCATTGTGATATATGCAAAATTGAATTCAGAGAATCTGTTGAAATTCATTTTAAGCTCGAACACGGAATCTTTGAATGTAAATTTTGTTATACAGAAATTATTGGAATTGTTCAATTTGAACAACATTTAGAATTTAAACATAATGATGTGGAAGCAGACAAAAGATTTTATGAGCTGAACGAACAATTAAAGGCACCACCAAAAGTTCCCAGTTATTTTTGTACAATGTGTCAACAAGTTTTCTTGACCATTGATAAATATAATAATCATGTAAAGTTTTTAAATTAGTATTAAATTTTTTTATTCTTATTCTAAAGGAAAATTTTATTTCATGAATTATGTTTTTGAAAATGTTATTAGTTTTTACAAATTGTAGGCTGCCAAGTCTCTATGTCAAAAATTTGGTTTTGGTCAGAGGCCTTCCAAACAAATGATTTATTCAATATTATTGGTTTTCATATGTACACCTTCATTGTAATGATTAATAACTTCATCTTAAATCTGACAATTTTTTGATTTTTTGACTAACATTGATAGTATCTATTACATTTTCCATTTCAAGTTTAAATTATATGGGGCATACTACAACAAAGCCAGACAAAGCGAACATTATGTCAAGAAGGAATTTATTTTTTTCATATATATAAAAAATAAAAATTGGTTACATGTATTTGCTATCAATGTATTAATATTAGTAAAGTAATAACATAAAATTATAATTTGCAAAATAAGTAATAGTGAAATAATGATCAAATTTTAAAAAAAAAATTTGTTAATAATAGTGCAAGTAATTATCATAGTAATAGAAAAGTAAGTGTAAATGTAAAATATAAAACAATCAATTAGTAATTATTTGTATTATTGACTTGTGCGGAAAGATCTTGGCATTGTCTTTTATATGATGTAGATTTTTTGCTCATTAAACAACCAATCATACTGTTTATATGTTGATCTATTCATCATCAACCTTTTTAGGTGTTGCCTTAAACAAATTGATTCAAAAACCTTGTTATAAATATTATCAATATAATTGTGCATCATGATTGTATATTCAAGCAAGTCTTTGGTTTTGTTAACATAAATTTTTTTATGCATTCACACTGAATATTGTTATCCTATGAAATATTCAAAAACTAATTCTGTTAATATTTAAATCTATAATAAAAATACAAATTCAATAATTGCCTCCACCTATTACCTTATTATAAAAAACAATGAGGAGCTCAACTTTCAAGTTTTTATAAAAATATAACCCTATTACTATTTTTTCAGTAACAATTTTTACCTCTTTGCCATTTATTGCTTTTTAACATGGTTTTTATTTAATCTGTCAAACCAAGATATTGACTTTAATGCCATACTCATTGTGATGATGAGTTTGGACCTATAAGTATAAATCAGATCTTTTAATACCTGGGGAGATTAATAAAATATTTACATACTTATCATTTTTTGTCACATTGCTTCCTGATTCAATTTCTTAGCATTAAGGACAAGATCTATATATGAACAAAATATAATAATGAACATTTTATTAATTATTCAATAGTTTGTGTAGGAGTGATCAAAGTAAGCATTAAGGACAAGATCTATGAACAAAATATAATAACAAATGTTTTATTAATTATTCAATAGTTTGTGTAGGAGTGATCAAAGTAAGCATTAAGGACAAGATCTATGAACAAAATATAATAACAAATGTTTTATTAATTATTCAATAGTTTGTGTAGGAGTGATCAAAGTAAGCATTAAGGACAAGATCTATGAACAAAATATAA